TTTTTTTTTTTTTTTTAATACCGATTCGTGCATTTACATCGTCATTCCTATTTCCACGATCATCAGTCGCTATTTTGGATCAAAGCTTACCCGTGTCGACGAAGAAGTGAATAATTTCGGTGGGCATTTCAAATAAAATTCGACAACTGCGATGATAAATCTTTGAACGATTATAGAAAGATAATTGATTTATTTCTTTACTTTTTGCTGTTTAATAGCAAATTAGAAATTTGAAACCAAAGCGATAAAAGCAAACAAAAGTGATAAATTCAATTAACAGTAAATTATGTTATCTACTGTTTGTATAGTAAACTGGTTTATATCCCGTTCGTATAATCAAAGTTTCGCTGTCATCGACATTATGATTGATCGACGAAATGTAGATAAATAGATCGTTAGCATATTAATAGTATCAGGATACACATTATCCATCAAACTTGCAATTAGGTTCCTTTAAACATCCGAGAGTATGCATCTTCATTAATTTAATCGTGCGTAGGTATTATTCAATTACATATATATTACCATAATTACACGAGGTCATGCGCTATTATCTTTACTCTTTAAGGTGAAAGATGATACGTAAGTGTTGGAAATGCGAGAAATTCGAGCAGACTAGTAGAAATCGTGTTCTGACAAAATATTAGGTGAATAATCTCCAATTTTAATTCTTCATGTTAAATTATAAAGTGCCAAACACTACAGTAATGTGTAAAATTTGCGTAATATTATCGCAAAATGTCAAGTACCTTACGTATCACGTAAGAGTGTAGTAGAATAATAAATAATTTTTAGAAGCCTATTATATTAATTAGGAACATAAGTGAAATTTTTATAATATAAAAAAAAAAGTAATTTGTTATGATCCCGTAGATATTATATCTCAATTTCTTTGAAAGTTCACAAAGTTGAAAGATCCGAATGGGAAAAGAAAAAAAAAAAAGATATTAACCAAATTTTTAATCAAACTTCCCTTAACACTAACGTCAACAGACAAAATCTGATGACGTATGTTAACTGAAAAAATTGGAAGTGAAATTTTGTGTTGACAGAACAACAGAACAACAGAACAACCTTTTAGGTTATAATAACCTATTGTAGGTCATTACAGGTTATTATAACCTTTTAGGTTATAAATCATTATAGATTATAAATTTTAGTACGTATATTCGATCTCTCAATTTTGTCATTCCATATGATGTCAAGATACACGGCCAAATTAGTATCTTTTACATTTTACACACGCTGTGTGCAGCCACTATCGGTGGATAGTCTTATGCATTGGATTTCGAGACGCCTGATGTACTTTAAGATTTAATAGGAGTATGTACAACACACACCGCTCGTATAGGGCAAGGTGTATATAACGGATACGCAAATATCACGGGTGCAGGAAGTGCGCGTGTGCTAGGGAAATTTCCAAGTTCACCAGCGCACCAGGCACCTCCATCGATCTGCCGGTACGCGGTGCTATTGCTACATTTACGGCATTCACTTTTATTCGAGATTCAACGGGTACGAGGTATTGACCCCTGAACTTGACCTATACCGAAGATATACCTGATCTTGAACAATTACAGGGGCAGACCAGTTTCATTTTTAAAAAAAGACACCGAACGTTGGATGGTGTGGATGCATATGACACAGAGTTGATCTCGTGGGAAATCATGCAATATTTTAAAATCTATAATTTCCCCTACTACGCTTACTTTGCTGGCATTGATTAACCTCCTAGTCGAAAGTTGACAACTGTCATTTCGGAATTTGTGCGCTCTTGCCTGAGCAAGATATTGTAGTACGAGCACGATACTTTCAATTCATACTAACGTTCAATTTCAGATCAATCAAATTGTTAAATTCATAATGGTAATAGTATTTAATGACTACTTAACAAAAACATAACAATCACGTTTTAAAACTACTTCGATGCTAATGTTGGGCGAATAGCATAAAATGGAAGACGTATTAAAAAAAAAAAAGTGTTTTCTGTCTGTGTATTTTGCGAAGAATTGACAGGAAAGAGATATCAAATTTATAAGATTTCTTCGGGAGAGAGTTGCAGACCTCTGTTGTATTGATGAAAACAATCGGGATTCCCCCACAACGCACAGTATGTTGCAGCGAGGGGGGTTTTTCAAAGAAACCCCTAGGGCCGCGAACGTTCAATAATCGGTAGAGAAGGAAACAGTCGTACTTACTATTGCATTATCTTAATCCAAATAATGCGAGCGAGTCCAAATGGCATCAAAAGGGACGAGGATTACGCGATATGGCACTTCCAAAGTTTTATTCTGCTGTCGTGTAACAAAACGAAAATGCGGTTTACGTACGTTGATTAGCGGTGGTACGTTAGGAAGTTTTCGCGTGTCAACGGCCCGCCTTAGCAATCGTTGGAAAGTAAACGCAGCACTACACCCGCCGAGCGAGCGGCAAGCCGAATAACTGACGCTAGCGCGAGGACCGACAGAGTGTGCCCCTCGCACAGTCCCACCCTTCCCTTCCTTCTTTCACTGCGCGCTCACTTGATCTAACCCGATCCTTCTCTATCGCCCTTTTTGCTTTTGCGTGTTCTCTTTCTTCTCTTCGTATCGCCTCTCCGAACCTACGTTCGTGTGGTGATTCCAACAGTGCACTACCAGCGCGCCGAACCGCGATGCCGCAACGCGTGCCTGGAGCACACTTTGAGACCGCGCGCGCCTCCCAGCTGCCGTATCGACCTCTCCCCATTGGATGACACATCCTCCAATAACGAACTTCCAAAAGGATTACGTCACTTTGATATTATTGACGCCAACCATCCGGCAGCATCGCCAGTGCTGGATTCTTGCAGGGTGTATCTTCTCCTTCGATGGGGGTTGCGAAAATTCTCAAGGAGTAGCCAGCCAGCCGCACGAAGGCCTCTTTTCGTCTAACATTTGTATGGGATCTCTCTGTCTTCGTCAAATAAAGGACACTTCCGTTTGCTGCGAGCCTGAATAGCGAGCGTGGTTTGTAGCTTGTGCCGCTTTCTAGGTTATTTCGCTTTCGATTCACGAATTTTCTGTTGGATGCTTTTATGTCCTGATGCAGGGTGTCCTGAATTCGTCATATGACCACCTTATCAGTGAGTTTTGTAAGTAACATTGATGTCGAGTAAAGATGAGACTTAACAACGTTAGAATTGGAAAAGTGAAACATACATGTACGGAATTTGCGCGTTTGGAAAATATAAGACTTCGTATGTACATAATTTTTAGATGCTATCAGACTATGTTTGGCAATTAGCGATTAAATTGTTAGCTAATATTAGTCTCAGTATGTTATTCGATTGCTAATAAAGCTCATTGCTCATCGCATACGAAACGTCGGGAAATAAAGACATTGTTTACTTTCGGAAGTCTTAATTTTGACAATTACGATAGTAAAAAGCTTCAAATGTTCAAACGTTCAAATTTTTAAATTTTACGTACAATTTTATTTACTTGAAATATTTTACAAAACAATCATCCAAGTTACTTGCAATGTCCTCCATGCCCTCCAGTAACAAAATATATATTTTCCAGAAAAAAGGTAAAAATGAAATTTAATAAATTTACATAAATGAATCGAATTTATACTTGCATAGATACGTCACTGGAAAACACCCCAACATTACTCCCTCTCATTACATACATATTTTTTTTTTTCTATCTGCATTACCTTCTGCGAGATTAAAACAGTTAAAATAAGTCTTAATACCGGATCCATTCATTGATGCCTTCCCTATCCGATGTATTATTTATACTCAAGTGTCCACGTATATTCTACCCACGTATATTTGAAATTTCGTTCGATACCGATACGTATATACATGTGTTACTATATCAAATTACTCGACTTGTTATTGTAAATTTATAAACTATCTATACTTATACCAGCAGGTAAAAGAGCTTTGTAAATAGCCATTGACGTAGACAAAAACTTTACTCAAAGTGTCAGATTGAAAGTGACGCGTGCATCCTTGTGACATGGATATTCCTCTTAATTGATAATGACGCGTATACGTTTCTCTTCTCGTTGCAAATTTCGGCATGTGCGCGCCGATTTACGAGTGACAAAACGTTGAATACGGAGAATGTCGTCACCGACTCGGAATTTAAATCCTGCGACAGTGTGACAACGTTAAGTAGGTGCTCTCAACCCCTTACTCTTTGCTGACTGGTTGACACGCCGGCCAACAGGGTCTCTCATTTGTAAATCTTCTGCCGTTGCAAAATCAGTCGTTGAACTTACCTTTGCCTCTTGTACGAATGCCAAGTACCGGTGTCGCGACGTACGTCTGAAGCTTCTTCCCGTCAACGCATTTCCTGGTGCATCTTTCCAATTCGAAACTAATTACTCTCCATTGTGTTTGTGATTCTAAATTGTTGTTTCTTGATGATTATTAACTTTTGCATAACTGCTAACTTTTCTAACCAAAGAAAATAAATTAACTTGTCGATTCCCAGTTTCTTGGAGATAATAATTGTTTTATTTATAATTCCCCTATATTTTATATAGTATACTAAAATAAGTATACTATAATTAGTTATATTATACTATAATTAGTATTATACTATAGTTATACTATAATTACTTAAGTTATACTATAATTAGTTATATTATACATTATACTATATATATTCTTTGAATCGTATCATTTTTATATTTAAAAGATATGTATTATATGTAAAATATTCTATTTATATTTTTCAGTAATTTTCATGAATTGTTGCATTCATATAATTCACAAAAAATATGAATTGCCATTTTGAAATTTTGAATTATTGTAAAATCTCACTTATTTGAATGAACGTAGAAATTATATTCTAAAGAAGTTTGTGAAAGGATAGTTATCTTATAGAAAGTGTCACTATTTGAACCCAGAGTGAACAAAAATAAGAATTTCAAACTACGTACATTTCAGGCTGTGCCTAAATTGAGAAGAGAAAGTGAAAGTGTTTGGATTCATCTATTTCTATTATACATCTGTTTCTATATACATACATATGTACATACATATGCATAGATATTTACAATATAAACTAAAAGAATAAGAAATTTTTTGATTTTCTTGTATGGCGAATTATGGCAAAAAAGAAACAATGTAAGAAACATTAAAAGAAATAATGTAAATGTAAGAAAGATTGAAATATACGAATTTCAAATTGGGGACATAAATTATTGAGTTGCATTGGGTTGTTATTGGTCAAGAAAAATATGTTCAGTGTAAAACGAGCTATGTTGAAAAGAATTTATTTACTCATCGCTTTTGCTTTGACCGTAAATTAGGCTGCGCAAATTTATGCAAATTAATATTTTTATGAATTTGTATTTAGAGAAGCAGAAACTGAGTAAAGATTTGTTTCATTTTTTGAATGTTATAACAAATATTTTGCTATACATATTTTTGTACATTTTTATATATTGCGTACGTAAAGAATTAAAAATATCTTAAACCATAGTTCTTTCTGTAATTTATAACAATCACAAAAAGTGGTAGCCACTGTATCCACGCGGACTTCTTTCTTGTGTTGTGTTCTCAGAACGAATTAAACGAGATCGAATTCGTCATTTGCGTGGTGCACGCCGAAGAGGAGAATGAAAATTGACAAATGTAAAACGTTGTAACTTAATGATGCAGGATTGGAGGCTCTGGAAAAAGCTCTCTATTGTTGGGAGGATGCTCTTACAGCGTTCAGTTCTTCACTCAATAATGGTACACTCGCATTACCGTCTAAGGCGGATGCAGCATTTACGCACGATGTACAAGAGCTCCTTGACATGGGTTATCAAATTCAGAACCATGCAGAGCTCCTTTTTATCGACCAGGTAACTGTTTCTATTTCCTATTACGATTTTTTTTTTTCATTGCTCAAACAGATCTCAATCACTCTTAAAATAATTTTATGTGATCAAAAATGAAAAAATGTCTATTATAGAAAATAGTTTGAGAAAAATTTAATTACGGTTATTCTCATCTTACAATATATCATACCTTTGAAATCTTTCATCCCTCTATCATACCATCCCACTGCATTCATCAATTGCTTTTTCACCATATAAAAAGATGTGAAAATTAATCCAATTTAAATGATAACTGACTAGAGCAATTAGTGCAATGAGTTACTTGACCTACCAACAAGCAAAGAAGAATTACTACATAAGAAATTTCACGACATCGTTGCCGCGCTTGTTTGAAATCTAAGCATATAAAATTCTTTTATAATTGAATTCTTATCGATAATCTTATTATATAATTAATAACATCTAATTATTAACATCTTGCAGACAGTTTAAAACTAAATTATAGATAGGAAAAATAAGTTTTTCGTTTTTGCAGCATTCAGTATTATTCCGAAACGAAGATGAAGAAAGTATAGATAGTCATAAACCTTCGAATATAGGTAGCCGGATATCCGGTAAAGATAAAGCAGATGCTGCGTCTTCTCCGGAATCTTTTGAATCTGCACGTGATGGGGTAATTTTACATATTAAATTTTTTTTTTCTTATTATATATAATAAATTATTATTCTATATTTTTTTATTTACATATTAATACAGGTAGCAGATTTAAGGGAATTCGAAGAATTTTCGGAATTTTTCCCTCATTTTGAGAAACAAAAATTGTATCACGCTGCACTCAAACAACACGAGGACAAAAGTATTCAGTGCAGGTAAAGAAGAATCTGTTTAATTTTTATATTTAAAGATATAAGGTATGATTTATCAGTTTATGTACGTTTGCTCATATGATTTATTAAGTAATGTAATATTTTTATTACAGACGATTGCATACAGAATTAGTAAAGTGTGGCTCAGATATAGAATACTTAGCAAAGGTGCATTGTTTGCGACAAGCATATACAAAATTGTTCACTATACCTTCGACTGCAGAATGGATTGCTGACATAGGCAGACAAATTATTAGTGATTTGATCATGTATGCAGACAGGGTATACACAACATATTTATTTACTACTTGAGAAATATACATATATATATATCTTAAAATAATTTAAATTAGTTTTTAATACAAAATTTTTTAATGAGTTTTAATAAAAAAATTTTCAATATTAGGATCCTAAGGATTATTTAACACATTATGAACGAATGTTAGAATTTTTACAAGAGCCAAACAATCATAAAATAATGGAAGAGGAATTAACTGCAAGAGGTGTAAAATGTATGAACTTCTATGACGTTCTAATCGATTTTATTTTGCTAGATGCCTTTGAAGAAGTTGAAAAACCGCCCTCGTCAATTAAAGCTATTTTACAAAATAGATGGATATCTGCTAGTTTCCGTGAAACTGTAAGTATCTAAAATAATAAACGTGTTTTAATCTCTTAATGATGCTTATTAATTTTATATTCAAGGCAATCGGAACTGCAGTTTGGTCAGTTCTTGTGGGTAAAAGACAAATGTTGAAATATGACAAAGGATTTCTGGCCCATTTTTATTCGATTTCTGAACAAATTTCTCCAGTACTGGTGTGGGGTTTTTTAGGCCCAGAAGGAAGTCTACGTTCTACCTGCCACTATTTCAGAGATCAAGTAATAGAATTCCTTGTAGATATATTTAATTTCTTTAAAGTAAGATACACTACTATCGATAACCTTGCTGAAGATATACTCAGGGAAATGAAAGGAAGAGTCGAAAATATAAATCAAAGACTTTCTCTAGAAGGTTGTTAATTAAATACAAACAAATAGGTATTACATAGCAGTGTCAGATATATATATAATTGAATAGATATGTCAATGGCTAAAGATCTGATATACTTTGCATAATGCATTTACGATTTTTTTAAGTAACCTGAGTACTAATCTTTACTCTTTCGTAATTATTATAACTTGTCTGTCCATGTTTATTCACATCAGTACAACTATTATATAAGCACTATGAAAGATATGAAAAAAAGATGATAATTATTTGGAATATTTTTTTTTATTTTGGAAAGTTCCAATTTCAAGAAATGCATCTTCAAGTATTTATTTCATTTAGAAAAACAAAACATGAATATAAAACGAATATATTCCTTATATGACTTTATTTCTTGTAATATAAATTATATAAATTATGTGTAAATATTAATCTCAAAATATTACATTTTTAATATAAGAATTTAGAACAAAATGTTAAATATGAAATTTTATTTTATTATAAAAATCAAATTTAATATATTGCTATTATTTCAATGTTACAAATTTGTTTATATTAGTTGTTGTTAATGATGTTTTATAACTATTTGTAGCATTTAAAAATAGCATGATAAATGTTCCAATTCCTAATATATTCCATAAAAAATAATATAATGACATGAAGGCACTAATAATATGCTCTTTATAATAAATTATTAAAATATACAGAATCTTGATATCAAGACATTTAACTAGAATACTGTCCAAAACAGTTACTTATATATAAGCATAATTTACCAGAAAAGATAAATAATGAAAGAATTAAAAGATTTTTTAAAAATAATGTTTAATCATTTTATCTCGCGTTATAAATTATAAATTTATTTACATTATCTTCTTTAAAATATTTTTCTTATAATTTTTTATAAAAAAAAATTACATGCAAATATCAACTAAAAAGGATTCATTGCCAAAGATAAGAACAATATTGCTAGTGATGAACTAACTATTATGAATACATATTTTTTAGTAGTTGTTTACATTGTGTATTATAAACATAGCATGAAGACATTCCAATATTGTAATTTTGTAACTATTATTTTTTGTGAATCAGTCATGGGTAACAAAAGCAGTAAATTTCATATACAAAGAAATATATTGTGTAAACATTATTCATTTATCTTCGTTCAGTCTCATAATTTTTACTATATGATTTATAATATTCTATCCTAATTGAATATAAAATGATTTTTTTTTATTCTGAATATTAAATACTGAATATTAAAGATTTCAGTATATGAGAATTCATAATACCGAAGCATTAGATTTTTTAAGCACCAAATTCAATGTAAATTTTTATCTAAGTGACACAATGTGAAATACATATAATATATAATTTTTATTTTCATTTTTATATTTATGTGGCAGATTTCATGCTGTAAATTATATCTATGTATAATGTACATCAGAATATTTGTTAAGTTGAATTAATCTGCATTTTGACTAATTGCAAATAATATTTAGTAAAACAAAAATGAAAAGATGAAGTTTTTATGTATAAAGTGTTTTATCCAAAATTTTATGTATCATGCAATTTTATGACTCAAATCAATAAATGTAGTATAGTAATATAATAATTTAAGTAAAAAATTTATAAAAAAAAGTTGAAGTGCTATTCCTTTATTTAAAAATATATTTAGACATTGAGTAGTATTTATTGTGTATATATAGCATGAGTAGATTAATCAAATATCATATCCATTATTTCATCTTCAGATTCTTCTTCATCACTAGATGGTACAACTGGCATTATTTGAGTTATATGATTCCTACGCTTATATTCTGTAAAATCCTCCTTTTCTGTGATAAAACGATCATTGTTAGACTACATAATGTGATAATTAGTAAAGATTTACAAAATATTGTCAACCATTAGACATTAATATTTTCTACTATATAATAAATAAATATGTAGTTCCAAATACAAATAAAAATACTATTCAATATTAAATTGCATATATTATAATTACCTTTGTTTCTTAAAGCTGCAGTGATCCAATCGAGTTTATATATATGATTTGAATCTAGCCCAATTAAAGGATTTTTTTCTTTTTGAATGCACAATCTTAACCATTCTGTCCCTGCCAATTTAATAAAAATTATTGAAATATATTATAAACATAATAAATAAATAGAAAAAAATAGTTATGTTACATTTATGTGCCTTTACAAGTGTAATCTTAATTTCTCTTTCTAAATTTTTGTGAACTGTTTTTTCTGCCACTATAGTTCCAAAAAGATATAAACAAATATAATATTTCTTTGAATTTGTTGTTGTGCTAGAAATAATGTAAAAATATTTTGTACATAATTCTTGCAAGAAATAATGTTTTATATTAGACAAATGTTTAAAATACCTAAATAACAGATGATCACATTCTACGTGAAGAAAATAGTCTTTTATATCTTGTAATAAAATACGTACAATAACTGTAGTATCCGTTTGATACCACACAATTTTCGGTGTATGATATATACTCACAAGTTTTAGACAGTTCATAATGTAATTAAAATCGCAAAAACAGTATATGCACTTGTTATGTACAAAATATTATAAAAACATATCATAAATCATAAATCTCTGATCATATAACCTCTCATAAATAGAAAATGTAGCAATTTATTTGTGAAACAAAAAATTTGAATTAGATGAAAGATTTTTCTTTGTAAACGTACTTCAATTATCAGAGAACATCTATAAAAAATTTTTCGTTGTTTTTAGCCATATTTCAAATATTTTAGCCATATTTCACGCACATATAACATAGAAGAACAAAAAAATAATAAATTTGAAAAGATATTCCGCGCTTTTAGTTGGTGAAATTTTCTCGTATATTTATAATCAAATATGTAAGTTCCGACTTTTATAATTTCATATTTACAATGATTTTATTTTATTTGAAGGATTGATTCACATTATAAATATAAAATCGTCAAAAAAAATTTACATGTAAAATAGAAATATTTTTAGTTTTGAGTATTTTAGTTTTATATTTTTTCCACGAAAAGCGCAGATAATAATTAAAAAAAAAAAGAATCTGCACATTTTCTTTAGTGCCTGTTCGAATGAAAGGCATACTATATAGACTACGTATTTGAAGACCAATAAAGATTCACTTCACGACGTTAGTTGATAAGCCGGGTGTAATTACGGTAAAACGTCAAACAAAGATAAAATGTCAAGAAACGATGGCAAGAAAGACTCGTCAGCGTCTACATTTCGAAAAATTGATGTTGATCAATACAGTGATAATAATTTCAGAGAAGAGGATGCTGACGGAGGAATAGGAGGACCTACGGGTCCAGATGAAAATGAAATATTAACACTTCTTAGCCAATATCCTTTTCGTCGCTTTTACATATAATAACATCACAGTAATTTTTCTTGCACGTCATCGTGTTTTCCTTAATATTTATTCAAGGGTAAGAATGCAGAAGCGCTAATATCAGTATTGAGGTCTGCACCCCTTGGGTGTAAAAATCAACAAGTAAAGGTAACCTCAGTAACACACCCTTTATTTCAATTTAAAATACGAATTGATGACATAATAAAGTTCAAGTTTACTATCTTTTGATATCTTGATACAAATGCTATGATATATATTGTCCCTTTTATATTAATATCATGAATGTACGGTTTGGTAAATAATAACAACTGAATATAAAATAATCAGATAATTCTGAATAAAGATTATGAATAAAATTTAGAGTATATTGTTTATTATCATAATATATTTGTAACAAATAAAATTTATTTCATTGAAAAAGTAAAAATTTACACATTTACTTCAATTTAAAGGGGACAAAATATATATACGCTACATATATAGCTCACAAATGTATACTTGAACAAACCTTTATAGATATATTAACTGCGTTATAGAAAATATGTCAAAATTTCATTTTGTAACTTCTATATACATTTTCGAGTTGCTTTATAATTTTACTAATATAATCAAAGCGGTAATATCTTGTTATAATGCTAGTACAATTTCAAAATATTTTGTATAATGTATACATAAAAGACATAAAAGAGTTCAGATATTTTTGTGAGCCATAAACCATGTATATAATGAATGTGTTTAATAATATAATATTTAACAAAATGAAAATATGTATTAATTTTCTTTTATTACAAAAAATTTGTGAATTTGCAAAAGCCAATAATAATTGAACATTACAGGATAACGCACGAAATTTGACGCTAAAAGTCCTTCTAAGTATAAAATCTACTCAAATAGATGATTGCTTAGCACAATTAGATCGTGATTTACTGGATGTTTTAATGAAATACATCTATCGGGGATTTGAAATTCCAACAGAGGGTAGTAGTAGTCATTTATTAACTTGGCATGAAAAAGTGTACAATATCAGTGGTGTTGGCAGTATTGTACGAGCGTTTGCAGATAGCAAACGTGCTTAAAAAAATTTGTACATTTTCTAATGTTCATTACAATGATTAATCCTTACTGTTACTCATTGTCATTGTTAATACAATGAGGATGTAGATAGAGGATGTAGATTCCACATGGAAAATATAACACATTGGTGTACATTTGTTATCAATAAAGTAATTTTTATTTCTTATATATTTGGAGCAATATTTTTTTCATTTTAAAAGTCCACTATCATTGATAAATATTTTATTACCTATTTAAACTAGAATTTTCTATATTTTATATACAAAACAATAGTACAATATATCAGAAATAATCTTTTATTAGAATTTGATATTATGGATTATATATCTATATGTTTATCTGCACGTAATAATTTTATGACAGTTAAATATATTTGAAATAATGATACTGTATATATATGTATGTTTTATATTAAATTATAATTAATATAAACATATATACATATATATATATATGTTTATATTAAATGATAATTAGATCATATTAATATATAACAAAATGGATAAAATTAGAATATTAAATAAATTCTATACTAATTCTAACTTATTTTATTATTGCAGAAATATTATTTAACAGAGCATTCATTACTCACATTTGTCCTTTACTGTGAGCATTATCATATTTGTTTGATGTATCAAGTATAATGCACTTATGAATACTGCATTTGCTCTGTAAAAAGAAAATAGTCGCGTTTTTAAAATGAACACAAAGATAAATAGGGAAAAAAAGGATGAAACATAATGATGCTTACTGTCCTTCTTTAAAATATTCTTTTAATGTATTGCTAAACCTTTTACTGTATTTAACAAATTCTCTTTTTCTTTGATCCAATGCTTGCTTTCCAGCAGAACCACGAATAAATGCGGTTACTTCATTTACTGCATCTAGAAGCTTTTTTATTGCACTTGCAATTTCTCTGAAACAGATGTATCAAAAACATATCATATACGATAAATTAAAAAATTTTGACTACAATAGATGTAAGCATAAAAACACACTTAATTGTTTCAAGAAAGGTTTTTCGATCTGTTATTTCATCAGGAATTCTGCTAAGTATTCTTTTCAAGGAAGTTGATTTGCGATTCAGTTCTTGGAAAGCATCCTCAGATCTAGCTGATCTATATTCTACAACTATAATAGTACATAAAATAACAATAGAATATTCATCATTTCAAATGTTTCATGTAATGTTTTAATGTTTTTAATCATAATATAATTTTAATTATTCATATTTTATTAGATTGGAATTATACCATCATAATCAGAAGCTGCTCCTTGTAATCTTAAAACACTCTCATTCATATCAAGATTAAGTTCTGCCCGTCGTATTATACCAAGAATTAAATCATATGTAATTCCTGGATGGGAATTTTCAGCTTTCAATAAAGCTGTGCGTAATGTTTGAGCTGCCAATACATTTTGTCTCTCTAGCTATGTAATAACAAATTAAAGAAATAAATTACAAATAAAAAACAAGAATATATATTTTTAAAATAATGTATACATATGTACATAATTCTTTAACATAGTCTTTTAACATATATAAAAAGAATCTTTTTTATATAAACACATTGGAAGATACATCATTCTATAAAATTCATTTTACAAAATGTGATTCATAAATATATTTAAACAGCTACCATAAAAATCTTTAAGTATATATGTTATGTCATATAAAACATTTTGAAATATTATTAGCAATGTAATGAGCACAAATGCACTGATTATATTAATAAAATCTAAAAATCAATTTAGAAAAGCATATAAGAGCTACATAGATGTTTATCGTAATTATATAATGAGAAATTAATATATAATACGAACAATTGTGTAAAATATACAATAAGTATTAAAAATGGTTCCACTAAATATTAAATATTATAAATTTATTAAAAACTAAGATTTGTCTCAAACTTTATCGATATAGTAGCTGACATTATAATGTATAAATAAAAGAAATTTTCAGTACCTTCATTAATATTGGTCTTAAGACAACAGGTAAGATCAGCGATGTAACTGGAGTCTCATCGCCCATTGTCATCCTTTACAACGTTTATTTATAAATACAGCTCAAATGTAATTAATTCGCAATTAAACAAATGCGGTTAATTGATTTCCTAATTGGCCAATTTAGGCATAGATCAAGTTGTTTACATTAAAAAATGACCATAGTCCTGATATGACAGCTGTCACGATCGGTACCTTATTCCAAAACGAGGTAATCAGGTTGTACAACTTGATTTTTAGCAAAATATCTTTATCTTAAATTTTGTTCGAACGTAACGAAAACGTTCGAAAAATTACTGAGAATTACAGTTATTCTAGAATTATAGTTTATATTTCACTGGGAATATAGTTATTCTTGAAATATGGTAATAAAAGTATTTTCACCAAATATCAAAGTATTTTATCATTTTATAGTTTAAAAGTATCTTTTCTAAAACACTAAACGCTTCGTTTTACGTTCCCTATTAGATTCAAGTGCAGTAACAAATGATTCCAAGTTTCAAGACCAGGAACGATCGATGAAATAGCGCCTTGACATAGCGCGTTTAATTTCAAATATATCAAAATAATGGAAAATAACCTCACAATTACTATTTGGAATATTATTAATTTATCGTTGTAATTGAATTAAGTATCTCGTATATTATCATTAGAATTTTCAATAATGTTGGAACGTAAAGACCCAGAAGGAAACCTATATGTTTTTGTAAGTAACTCGTCATGCCTAACCTCACTTTGTTTCATGTGATATCATTTTTGTCTTATTTAATATGATTTTGTAAAATAGAATGAAGAAGATTTACCTTACGAGGAGGAAATTTTGAGAAATCCTTATTCAGTGAAACACTGGCAACGTTATATAGATCATTTAAAAAGTACAAAAAGTAGTAACTTAAATATTGTATATGAACGAGCATTAAAGGAACTTCCTGGAAGGTAGAGATAACGTTTTTCATTTGGTTTCATTTTGTCAAACAAATCTCTATAAAGTACTTAAATTTTTATTTCTTATTAGTTACAAGTTATGGTATAATTATCTACGTCAACGTGTCAATCAACTGAAAGGAAGGTGCATAACAGATCCACTCTATGAAGATGTGAACAATGCATTTGAACGTGCTTTGGTTTTTATGCATAAAATGCCCAGAATTTGGATGGATTACTGTACATTAATGACAGAACAATGTTATATTACACGTACTCGTCAAGTTTTTGATAGAGCACTTAGAGCTCTTCCTATTACGCAACATCATCGTATATGGCCACTATATATTGAATTTTTGAAAAAACACAATGTTTATGAAACTGCAGTTAGAGTTTTTAGAAGATATCTTAAGGTAAGGTGGAATAACTTTATTTATCTTGATCTGTATTTAATACTATGCAAATTATTTCTAGTTAGCTCCAGAAGATACAGAAGAATATATAGAATATTTGATATCAATTGAAAGGCTTGATGAAGCAGCTGTGAAACTTGCACAAATTGTTAATCAAGATGATTTTGTGTCAAAACATGGAAAGTCTAATCATCAATTATGGAATGAATTGTGTGATTTAATATCAAAAAATCCTTCTAAAATAAAATCTCTTAATGTAGATGCAATTATTAGAGGTGGTTTGAGACGTTACACTGATCAATTAGGTCCTCTGTGGAATTCTTTGGCGGACTATTATGTTCGTAGTGGTTTATTCGAAAGGGTATTAAGCAATTTTGTGATTTTGTGAAGATGCAATTTATTATAATCATATAATTTCAATATTTTTATTTTATATAGGCGCGAGACATTTATGAAGAGGCAATACAAACAGTGACTACTGTTAGAGATTTTACTCAAGTGTTTGATGCTTATGCACAATTTGAAGAACTTAGTCTTAGTAAACGTATGGAAGAAGTTACAAAAAATCCTACAGAAGATGGTATATTTTATTACATATTATTATTTTACGTATATTTTATTATATATTATTATTTAATATATAAAACTTGTAACTTATTTATATATTTTCTACAATCATGTTTTCAGATGATATAGATTTGGAATTAAGATTAGCACGATTTGAACATTTAATGGAAAGACGTTTATTGCTTCTAAATTCTGTATTACTCAGACAAAATCCTCATAATGTACAAGAATGGCATAAAAGAGTTAGGCTTTATGAAGGACAGCCACATGAAGTATAATATATTTTTATTAAAGCATAATATATTTTTTTAATAAAATATGGTTCAACAATTTTATTATTCTAACTATTTTTTTCTTCTTTAGATCATTAATACATATACAGAAGCTGTACAAACTGTGCAACCACAATTAGCAGTAGGTAAATTGCATACTTTATGGGTTGAATTTGGTAAATTTTATGAAGAAAATGGTCAAATAGCAGATGCCAGAGTTGTTTTTGAAAAAGCAACTCATGTACCTTATACTAAAGTCGACGACCTTGCTTCTGTATGGTGTGAATGGGCAGAAATGGAAATTAGACATGGGTATGGTATTATTGTTTTATAAAACAATTATACTTAAATATATAGAAATTCTATACAACATGTTAATTTTGTTTATACAGAAATTATAAAGAAGCATTAAAACTTATGCATCGAGCTACTGCTATGCCATTCCGTAAAGTAGCTTATCACGACGAAACAGAAACAGTTCAAATGAGATTATATAAATCTTTAAAAGTTTGGTCTATGTATGCTGACTTAGAAGAAAGTTTTGGAACATTCAAGGTATACATTGGAAGATATCACATTCATCAACTTTGTTTATAAAATTTTTAAATTTAGTAATTTTGTATATTTTTTTCTTTTTTTACAGACATGCAAAGCTGTATATGACAAAATTATAGATTTAAAAATCGCCACGCCACAAATTATTATTAATTATGGACTCTTTTTAGAAGAAAATAAATATTTTGAAGAAGCTTTCAGAGTACATATTAAATTACATTAGATTGAAATGCTACTTAAAATTAGTAATCATTTTCAATAATACTTTATTTTTAGGCTTATGAAAAAGGTATTGCTCTTTTTAAATGGCCCAATGTTTATGATATATGGAATACATATCTTACAAAATTTTTGAAACGTTACGGTGGAACAAAATTAGAACGAACGCGAGATTTATTTGAACAGTGTTTAGAATTTTGCCCACTAAAATATGCCAAAGGTATTTTATCATATTTAATACAAACATATATAAAACAAAGAATGATATTATTATTTTTTTATATTATTGCAGCTCTGTATTTATTGTATGCAAAATTAGAAGAAGAACATGGTTTGGCTAGGCATGCAATGTCTGTCTATGAACGAGCAACAGACGCAGTTCTTCCTGAAGAAAGATTTGAGGTATGAAATCAAATACGGAATAAAAATCTAATAAATATAAATTTAATAAAGTTTCAATGTATATATATTTTTTTACAGATGTTCAACATTTATATTAAAAAGGCAGCAGATATATATGGTGTTCCAAAAACAAGGCAAATTTATGAGAAAGCTATCGAAGTACTTAATGAAGATAATACGAGAGAAATGTGTTTACGATTTGCAGAAATGGAGACGAAATTAGGAGAAGTTGATAGAGCCCGAGCAATATATGCGCATTGTAGTCAAATTTGTGATCCAAGAGTATGAAATATTATTTGATTGAGTAGCGTTTAAAGATAACACTAAAATTAATATTATACACGTGTATATTTTTGTTTAATTGTATATATTTTTGTATGCCTAGGTAGCTTCAAATTTCTGGCAGATATGGAAAGAATTTGAAGTGAGACATGGTAATGAAGATACTATGCGTGAAATGCTTCGAATTAAGCGCAGTGTACAAGCTATGTACAATACTCAAGTGAATATGATGTCTGCACAAATGTTAAATAATGCATCGAATCCACCATTTGATGTACCAGCAGATGCAATGCGTCTTTTGGATAGTAAAACACAAGGTATAGAGTTAATTATTTTATCACAAAAAAATAATTGAAAAGATATAGAAATTATATATATATAATATACAATATGTATACAAAAATATATAAAAATCTTACTAAAATAATGAATATAACATTACAGATAACATTACTGCATACAAAGACAGTATTAAATTTGTTCGTGGTGCAACGGAAAAAGATGGCAAAGCAGAATCTCAAGTGAACAACCCGGATGAGATAGATATTAATATTGATGATATTAATGATACTGAAGGAGATATAGAGGAAGGTAATATAAAACGTATAATAACACATCAAAATTTTTATTACACTTCATTGCGTGTAATGTGTTCATAATGTGTTTATAAATTGTTTTGGATTTTAGTGACGACACATATTTTATATCTTCTTATTCGTGTTACTTTCAGATATACCTATTGAAAAACAAACTATTCCATCACAAGTGTTTGGTAGTTTAAAGACAGCTGACGGTGAAGATGATTAAGGAATACATAAATTATAATACTCGGAAAATATGTAAATAATAAAATTCACAATAAAATATAAGATTTATAACTGATATACATTATTAGTACAATTAACAATTGGTGCTTTCAGCAAAAAAAAAATTCACTTTCAGTGAAACCAATCAATGTTTT